GAAGCAGACCTTCCAATGAGTTTTCATGCCATGTTGGTGTTGTGAAGCGGTGTCTTTTTTGTTGGTTGATGATCATTGTTCATTGTTCATTTTTCACATTTCCGCGCTTCAATCTGTTGTCTAATTGCAAAATATGTCTTTTTTTGTTCCTTGAAATCGCTCTCGACGAACAGTTGATATCTCATCTGTTTCATCGCTTTGTTTTAGAAATGACGCCAGTCTCCATCTCGTCGCCAGCGAGTGAGGCGTCTTTCTTCACATTCGGTCCCACTCCGACGCAACATCTGCCGCCAAGAACTTTTCCACCCACAGACCCACGCGTTGAAGGAACAGTTGGACGATGCTGTCCACCATTGCCTCATTGTTTTATGTCTTTCCTATTTTTTTTTGTCATTTAGTTGCTCACGTGTCAGTAGCATACTCCATCAGTAGTATCCTTCGGTGTACATACCGCTCTACACATTTTGCGTTCAAATGTCAACTTGCTATCAGTTTCCCTTAACTGTACCCCTCTTTAGACCAATTTGGTTGAAACTGATTTCACACTTTTTTTTCTCTTCACATTTAGTTAATTAATGCAGATTATTTATGTTTTGAGGAAAGTCAATATTTTTGCCTATTTTCATAATTAGAGGGTGTAATTTGTATGCGTTTTTTGTGTTCTTCCAATGCTGAGACCTGTCGCTAACCCCTCATTTCTGCGAGATGGGATTAGGGCATGACGACAGAAAGTGGGATTATGTTGAAATGAAATGAAACTGCAAAAGTTGACCGAAAAGAGCAGGTCAGCGTTTCAATGAAAACCGAATGCTCGAGGGCTTTTGACAAAATGGACCAGGACTCGAACACGAAATGCCTCATCGAAGCCGAGTGGCAGCGGAAAGGAAAGAGGTTTGCTTGACAACCTGTTGCATTTTTGAAAGAAGACTTGGTCGGACCGTCTAGGCGGCCTTGTAGAATGCACCCAATCCTGTCTCCGTTGCCATGCCATTGGGCATTTCCAGCATTTCCCCATTGGCTGGGTACATTGCGAAACGTTTGGCTGGCACTGTTGTCGACGTCGTCAGTTTTGAGGCGCCATTGTCAGGACACAGTTAGAAGTTATCTTGTCCGAAACGTTTCGCAATGTACAGAGTCACTGTTGCCATGCTGGAAAACACGAATACTGAGGCAGAAGACACAGAACTAGGCACGTTCCACAAGGACCAAGTCGCGAAAACGAGGTCAAACCAACATTATCAAGTTAACAGAAGACCACACCCTCTTTGTCTTCATATCTACGATCATTTTAGTCTTGCAGAAAGAACAAAATGACAACTTATGCTCATTTATAATTAGGGTTTAGATGATACCGTTGGATGGGATTAATGAGATGAGTTCATCATATTTCGTTCTTGTCTCCTGTTTTTCCATGTCTTTGATGTCCTCACATTCAATTTTTGGTAGAATATCTGTACTTTATTGTTCCGTATGCCGATTTTTCTTTCAATTTCTCCCATTTATTTGTGGTCACCCTGTTCATCGTGTCTTCACCACCTCACAATACTGTCCTTGTGCGCTTGTAAAGGGTGTTGTCGTCTTTCGTAAAATGAATATTACCATTTCCAATTTCGGCCGCCATTTCACAACCAGTCGGCAGGAGTGTAGACTTGTCCATTTTTGTGAGCGTTTCACTTTCCTCATTTTATGTTTATAACCTCCACTTTGCCATCTGAACTGTTCCACCTGAACACATCTTTGCTACAGTTTCCATCGGGCATCCGCTGATAGACAGAATCAAATATTTATGACATGTTTTCACCCTATTTTGCTCAAGTTGATGAAGCAGCGCAACTCGGACCATGAAACTGGAGTTCTCCTGTGGAAAAAAACACCTTTTGGGAAGGCAAGACTGTGTGAAATTCAATGGAAACGTCAGCTATCCTCATTTGATTGTGAGAAAATTCAATCACCAGTCGTTCTTCAGCTTACGCGAAATTGGATGAATACATCTCATATAAGCAATTCTTGCGCAATTCATATCACATTTCGGTGAAGCAAATTATTATTCGCTACTACAACCGAGTACACTACTTATTTTTGAATTTATCAGTAGTTTTTGAGACTACCAATAGGCTTTCCCCATTTCGTCGTCATACACAGCTACAATGTGATTGGTCAGGATGAGAGGTACTCATAAGTAGTCTGTTGTCTATGGAAAAATAACCGAGAGGTAGGGCTGCACGTTTTATGCACTATTGTCTAATGAACCTTAGCATTTGATAAATAAAGCCAGAAACTACTTGGCGAAGTTCGGACTTGGCACAATTGCCTTGAAGACTCTTCAGAGGAAGGCTAGATTGTCTAAACAAAGTGTGTACCTCGGGATTTGGATCTGGAAAATAGGCGGATTAGTTGATGAATTGATCTACTGACGAGGATGTGACCTGCAAAAGTTTATCTCAAAAGACCGATTCGGCTCATAATTCTCGTCTTCTCATCTACTTATATTGCTTATAAGTAGTTAATCTTGATTAAGAAATTATAATGACCGAGATTGAATTAATTTG